CCTGCCTGGCGCTCACGGGAGTCCCCCGTCTGCTCTAGGGTTGGCTGGACCAGCCGGTGCTCCGGGCTCCAGGGGTTGGTGATGCTTTCTAGCTTCATGCCCAGCGTCTGGAAGCTATTCTTGGTGCCTGCGGGTGTGAAGGGAGATGCAGAATGAGGATCCAGCACCGAAAGTACCCCTCCCCCCATTTTACACTGGGTTCTCCATCCCAGACCACATCCAACAGCAAACCATCAGGGGCGAAGGTGGTGTTGGGGGTTCCCATGGAGCCAGCTGTGGGGTGTGATGAAGAGATTAAACATGAAAACCAACAGGAGAACCAGAGGACAATGCGATAGCTCACCACAGCTGCGGTGGTTGCGGTGGGCCTGTGGGCAGTTTCTATGAGCGCTGAGGCCCATTCTTTGGGCTGTCCTGCAGCCCCAGAGAGGGGCGGCCACCTTTCCCCAGGCAGGGGCTGTGTCCACTACCTGCTGTTTCCAGGGCATGGGTGTCAGGGGCTGAGCCGGGTGGAAAGGGTGGTGTTAGGATGGGAGCCACCTTTCTGGTTCTGGTGGCGGTTCTGACTTGATGTCAGGCCACATCCTGCCAGGAGGCCTATGCCGCGGTGACACCATTAACCCAGGAGACACAGCAAGTAACCCCAATGGTGCTGCGTCCACCTCCAGGTGCCATGCAGTACCGTCCTTGCTGCTATCGAGGCATTGTCCTCTCTGCTACCCTGCGCGCACCTTTCTACCCAACCCACCCAACCAAGGGGGGTCAGCACAGCCCCAAGCAGGGACATGGTCCAGGCTGCCACACCCCGGGCAGCACTAGGGTGCTGTTCACGTTCACCCCTTCCGGGGGCTCAGAGCAGGTGGGTCACGTTCTCCGGATGGTGTGCGTCCGGGGTGCAGCATCGTCTTCCACAGGGGAGTCAGTGTTTGTACACAGAGGTCTGGCCTGGGGACGTTTGGCGCCAGCGAGTCCTACCTGCCACATCCAGGTCTACGCGGTAGTGCACCAGGTGAGTGTGCATGTTGCCGATCAAGTGTGTGTGCAGGCGCGTCCCGTGACGCAGCCCCTCGGGCGTGTAGAAGGTGGCGTGCACGTAGCCAGTGGCGTGCATCTTGGCCTCCATCACCCCGTTGGGGTAGAAGATGAAGTCCCAAATGTAGTCATAGTTGTAGACCGTGGACGTCGTCCGCAGCACCAGCACCTGGCCCTGGAGCCCTGCATAGAAGTTGAAGCCACCGTTGAAGTCAGAGTTAAAGTGGCGCCGAATGGGCACCCCCGTGGGCATCTCGAAGACACAGAGGGCTCGGGGGTAGTGGACAGGGTTGTTGGCATTGTAGTAGTGGAGGGCTGGCCCTGTAGTTTCCTAATAGACACAGCTTTGCCCCTTGGCCGCCATGCCAGCCAGTGGCCATGCTGGCGCAGCTGGGTCTCCAGGCTCCTCAGACCTGTGCTTTCCATTGATTTTAATTGTACACTCTCCTTGCTTGTCTGTAAGCCTTGGTTAGTCCTGCACATTTTCATACCTATGTCAACTCCGCTATCCCCTTATGCATGCATTATCTCAGAATGGCTGCACCTCTACTGCTGTGGGCTAAGACTAACAGTAATTAGCTTATCAATGCGATATTCAGCATGGCTGAAAATCAGCGTAATATTGCCCTGCTGTAGGCCAAATGGCTCAAGCAATCCTTACCCTGATAATCTTGTTGCTGTTTATCAAACTTTACCTTTGATATGCCTTATGCATTCTTAAAGGGAAAATGTGTATTTAATTGAATAAAAGCAAATGGGACCCACAAGTCAGAGAGCCTCTCCACTAGAGAAAGGTTTTCCGCCTGGCCCCCTATGCTTATAAATTCAGATTTCTTGTCTAGTGTATTTGTTTGTGCACGGCCCCTTTTCCAGATCCTGAACCCTAGCCGCAAATGCATGCGGCATTCACATCTGGTGCCTCCTAAGGGACCAGGAGAAGAAGATTCACCTGAGGGAAAAACTAAGAAAAAAGGAAATTCCCCTGAAAGGTGGGAGGTTCACCCAAAAGGTGGGGAAATTCACTGTGCACAAAACCCGTTGCAGCTTCAGGTTCATGAATCCTAAGTGGACGAGGAACGTCTTTTATTACAGCCAGGCTATAATGGGGAAGAATTTGAGTAAAAGGCAAAAACATCCTTGTAAAGTTTTAGCGTGCATGGTCAAGGATAAAGAAATTTAGGTGTCAAAGTGTACTCTCTTAAATCAGGCTCAAGTAAAACAAGTTTCCTTGTCATCTTTACGTGTGTGGGCTGTTGTTCGCAC